GAAAAAATATAAATACTATTTAAAAAATAAAAAATAAAAATAATAATTTTCATTTAACTTAAATAGAATTTTAGAACCATGCTACATATATTAATCCTTTATCTTACTTTCATATTTATAAACTTCATACTTAAATTAATAAGTAACAAAGATTTATTAATGGAAATTCGTGTATATATAGGTTGAAATAAATAGAGTACCTATACTAATAGAAATTCCAATACTATTTTTGATTCCTTACTTATTTGTCTTAATTCCATGAGTATATATTATTGATCACCTTACTTATATATGATCATTCACAAAATTTACGGAAAATCTTATTAAGAAACAATCCTAAATAATACTAAATTTGTAAATTATGATCACGGGTATATTATTTATCACCTTACTTATATTATGTATCTTGGATAATACTAATATTATTTTCGATATCTTTACTTATATATGGCAATCCTGAATTATGTATCTTGGATAATCAATAATATTATATGTAAATATCCGTATTCAGATTACAACAATACGAACTCCAATTACGATGATAATATAAAAAATTATAAATATATATGAAGAAATATAAATACTATTTAAAAAATAAAAAAAGAATATTTTTAATTAATTTAAATAGAATTTTAGGACCATGCTACATATATTAATCTTTTACCAAGGAATTCTCACCATAATAAAGTCATTCGTAAAATACAAAAGGTAAGTAAATAATTAAATGTGAAACTGTCCTAATACGGCCGTGCATTAGAAAATGATTCATGCATAGCCATGAATGGTATGATATGATTTCAAGAATAGATTACTTCCCTAACATATGGTGATTGACAAAATTTATGAAAAATATTATTAACAAACAATCCTAAATAGTACTCCCTCCGTTTGAAAAAACACTTCCCATTTGGATTTGGGGCAAAAATAAGGAAGTGTTAAATTATAGTTGATTTTCCAATTTTGCCCCTGATGTGATGGATAAAAGTAAGATGTGATAGATAGATTATTAGAGAAAAAGTATGATGTGATAGGTAGGGTATGAAAAAGTAAGGGTAAAAGTGGTTTTTTAATAGAAAAGGGAAGTGTTTTGTTGGAAGTGGAAAAAATGAAAGAGGAAGTGTTTTTGAGAACGGAGGGAGTACTAAATTTGAAAATTATGATCATGAGTATATTATTCATCACCTTACTTATATTATGTTTGTTGGATAATATTTATATTATTTTGGATCCCTTTACTTATATATGGCAATCGTTAATTATGTATCTTGAATGATCAGTAATATTATTCTAGATTCGTTTATTTTTAGTAAGAAATTCGTTATATCTAGGATGGACCCAATATTATTTTGAATTCCTTACTTATATATCTAACTGGCAATGAGTTAAATTACTCACTTTTATATCCAAATTTATGGAAACTCTTATATACTTGGGTCAGAATCCTATTATAAAAAGAGATATATAATGAGTTGAAATGTGACATCCATCACCCATTTTCATTTTCCATTTCAATACATAGGCATTCAGAATTAATTATGCAATAAATAAGCGGAGAATCGTTAATTCAACTTCAGCTTTTGTTTTTAAAAGGATAGGTGGTAGGAGCATCCTATTTTTCAATTTCAATTGGGGCTATGGAAAATCAAGTTGACGATACATGGACGAGATCAGCTAGAGATGCAAGAGAAATGAGAAAATGAATACTTCAACAAAAAAAGATGGAAAAGGTACGCACTTTAAAGATTGTTTTATCTTAATACATTTAATTTTGTTTTATTGTTTTAAGGTAATTTGATGCATAACATTTTTGAATTATTTAAAATAACAAAATGAAATGGGATATGTTAGTGACCAGAATTTTTGTATTTAAAATTTATATGGTTGCTTTTTAATGAGCATTGAAAATTTTTTTTATCTTCATATATAAATCATTAGTATAGATAAATTAATTTATGTTAAATAAAAAAAGTTTTATTGTATAATTGTTGATTTATCTAGGCATGCATATAGCTCACTGATTATTTTTATCAATTTTATATTTACATCAATAGGAATAAAATGATGTCTAACCATGACTCTTTAATTTCATTTTTCTATATTTTTTATGGAAAAAAAATAGTTTATACATATTGAATATTTTAAACAATTGAATGGACGAATATTGACAAAGTTGAGTAAAAACATATTCGTATTTAAAATCTTTTAAATAAAATTCAAAACTTTGCAATAAATTTGATATGAAATGGGTGAATATAAAAAAAAGTGAGTACATATTTTAAAACAAAATGATATGCATGCGAGGAAAAAAAAATAGGCATTGATACAGAATGATCAATGTAAATAATTAAAAGTTCAAATAAATTTTTAAATTGGAAAATTTACTTATATCTAAC